ATGTTATTGTGAATAAACTTTAGTTGTTGTTCTCCTGTAATACTGCTTTATTGTATCTATTACTTGTTATCCGTCGTTGCGTGTCTTGCTTCCAAGCATGGCTACTCATAATCTAACAGTAGAAGATGATGAATTTATTGGTCGTAAAGTAAATGTATTCCATTGGATGGTACGGAAAGGGTGGTGCCCTTAGTTAAAGTGTGGGTTGACTGTCCATATTTTAAAGGGTTTGTTACGGCGTTGTGCATGAATAATCCATTATATGATTTAATTGTGGGGAATATTCCTTTGGTCGGAGGTCTAGGAAATGTGGAAATGGGGTTTAATGTTCAACGTGGATCTTTAGTGGGAGGAGTGAAGACCCGTAGTATGATAGGAAAGGAAAATAAACCGTTTCAGCCTTTACTAGTTAACAGTGCTGGTGAATCGTCAACGTCGGTCGAAGATATAGCTGCTGCACAACGGAAGGATCCAAGCCTTGAGAAGCTGTGGACTAATGTTGGGGATGGAAAAGAAAGACTAACAGGTAAGGGAAATGTTTCAAAATTTAAAGAAAAACGAGGACTTTTGTTCAGAGTTTTTATTCCACTGGAAAGTCAGGTACATGTTGATCAATTGGTGGTTCCATCGTCGTACCGTACCAAGGTAATGAGTTTAGCCCATGACGTCCCGATGGCAGGTCATCTTGCAGTAGGGAAAATGATGGAAAAGATCTTGAATGTGTTCTATTGGCCAGGTCTACGAGGGGATATTCAAAGATATTGCAGATCGTGCGACATTTGTCAGAAAACAGTGGACAAATGTAGGGTTGGTAGAGCATTATTAGGGAAAATGCCTTTAATTGATACTCCATTTAAGAGAATTGCGGTGGATATCGTAGGACCAATACACCCGGCTTCTGAAAAAGGTAATTGTTACATTTTAGTTGTAGTGGATTATGCAACCCGATACCCAGAGGCAGTGGCTTTACCTAGGATAGAGGCAGAGCGTGTGGCAGAGGCACTGGTAGAAGTGTATTCCAGACTTGGTATCCCGGAAGAGGTACTTACTGACAGAGGTGCGCAGTTCACTTCTGCTGTCATGGCTGAGGTTAATCGCTTGCTGGCCATTAATCATTTAACCAATGCAACGACCTTGTCGAAAGATTTAATGGAACTCTTAAGAAAATACTTAAGAGAATGTGTAGTGAGCGCCCAAAAGATTGGGACCGGTATTTACCAGCTTTACTATTTCATACAGGGAAGCCCCGCAAGAAAGTTTAGGGTTCTCGCCATTTTCATTGATGTTTGGTAGGAGTGTTAGGGGGCCGCTTTCTATTCTTAAAGAGTCGTGGACTGGAACTGCAGTTACAGAAGAGGTAAGAACCACTTATGATTATGTCATTAACTTACAACAGCGTTTGCAAGATACATGTAAGTTAGCTTTAGATGAACTGACTAAGTCATCTGCCAGATATCGGAAGTATTATGATGTTCGTGCAAAAGATAGAAAATTTAAAGTTGACGACTTAGTTTTGATGATGCGACCTACAGATAACAACAAATTGCTAATGCAATGGAGTGGACCCTATGCCATAGTCGGTAAGGTAGGTAAAAATGATTATCGAGTAAATGTTAAGGGCAACATTAAAACATTACATGCTAACCTTTTGAAAAGATACTACCCTAGAGAGGAAGAAACCTTAGAGACTGGTCTAGCAGGAATAGCATTTGTGGAGGAACCGGAAGAGTTAGAAACTGAGGGTATGTTGAAGGTGACATTGCCTCCCAAAGTGTCACAGGAAGGTCCCTCTGATGTTGTACTCGGAGATATGGACACGGAAAAGGTTGGACAGGTAAGAGGTCTCTTAAACGAGTATGAACATGTCTTTACCGATTTGCCAGGTAAGACAAATTTGTTAGAATTGTCAATACATTTAACGACAGATAAACCCGTTCGTTCAAGGCCTTATGCCGAACCACTCTCAACCCAGGGGGTTATAAAACAAGAAATAAAGTCCATGTTACATATGAGAGTTATTGAACCCTCCCAATCAGCCTATGCTTCACCTATAGTACTTGTTAGGAAGCCAGATGGGTCGAACAGGTTTTGTATTGATTATAGAAAATTAAACACCATTACTAAGTTTGATCCAGAACCAATACCAAATGCTGATGGTCTGTTTTCTAAGTTAGGCCAAGGTAAGTATTTTTCTAAAATAGACTTAGCTAAGGGTTATTGGCAAATTCCGATTGCTGAAGTAGACAGGGAGAAAACAGCTTTTGTAACATCCCAGGGTTTATACCAGTTTAGGGTAATGCCATTTGGGATGGTAAACGCCCCAGCAGCTTTCTCGCGCATGATGCGTAAATTACTTGATGATCTTGAGGGAGTTGTCAATTACATTGACGATATCCTAATTTTTTCTAAAGATTGGAATGAGCATTTGAATTGTTTAGAACAAGTTCTTAATCGGCTCAGAGAAGCAGGGTTAACGGCTCGACCGTCTAAATGCTTGTGATTTGAATCCTTAGATTTTTTGGGTCATGTGATTGGTAGGGGAGAGGTAAGGCCAAGAATGACTAAAATCCAAGCGATTATGAATGCTACATTTCCTAAAACTAAAAAGGAAGTACGGTCCTTTATAGGCTTAACAAGCTATTAACGAAAATTTGTACCAAATTTTGCGGCAATTGCGTCTCCCTTGACAGATTTGACGAAAAAGGGAGCACCCAGCAAAGTTGTTTGGGGGAACGCGCCTGACCCACAGAAAACGTTTATTTTAGCCGTAGATGCGTCTGATGTAGGCATTGGAGCTGTATTGATGCAGGAGTGGGATGGTGTAAAGCACCCGGTGAGTTTTGCAAGTAGAAAATTGCTTGAGAGGGAGCAGAGATATGCAGTGGTTGAGCGGGAATGTCTTGCGATGATTTGGGCTGTTAATAAGTTTAATGTGTTTCTGTATGGTAAAGAATTTATTTTGGAGACCGGATCACCAATCTTTAATGTACCTAATGAAAGCCAAATGTAATAATAGCAGAGTTATGAGATGGGCTTTAAGTTTACAACCTTACCGATTTACGGTAAGGGCAGTAAAGGGATTAGATAATTCAGGCCCAGATTTCCTTAGCCGTTGTAGTGAGGAATAAGTAATAGATGTTGACGAAATTATCGCATAATTCTTGTGAATTGGTGTTTCGGAATTTCCGGACGTCTTCTGAAGATGTTTATTGTTATCTTATAGCATGCATGTTAAGAAAATATTTGTAACAGAAGTTGTGAATTTAAATTGCCATACATGTTCTTATGATGTTGTTTTGAAAATTTAACAGGAAGATGATATTTAGAAATTGATGGATACTAAGAGTATCATCTTAAGTTGGGGAATGTTGTCACATAGTGATGATTATTATTATTATATAGTGATGATTATTATTATTATTATCATTATTATTATTATTATTATTATTATTATTATTATTATTATTATTATTATTATTATCATCATCATTATTATATGGAAAGACTGTATATGTTGACCTAAAGGAGATGAAGCTCATACTTTTCATATACACTTTGTATCTTACCTGGATATCTTGTATGATAATTTTAATTATGCATATGCAAATTAATTATGCTAATTTTGGATGATTGCGAGGGGTGGACTGTGTAGAGGTCAGTTGAGGAAGATTGGCTGAGCGGGAGATAGCTCAAGGGAGGCCAATGATTTGTATGACCAAGAGATAGGCCTAA